ACTGGAGGCCATGTCACTGCCTTCTCAACAACTGGAGGCCATGTCACAGCCTTCTCAACTACTGGAGGCCATGTCACAGCCTTCTCAACAACTGGAGGTGATGTCACTGCCTATTCAACAACTGGAGGCCATGTCACTGCCTTCTCAACAACTGGAGTCGATGTCACTGCCTACTCAACAACTGGAGGTGATGTCACTGCCTACTCAAGTGTCTGGCGTCGCTTACTCTGTCGTTTTTTTTCCCTTTGGAGCTCATTGACATACTGGCGAGTGATAGTCACGTAAATGATTTCAGTCGCTCTAGTGGGAAAGACACAGCCTCTGAGCTTTTGAATTTGTCAAAAGTACCAATTTTAATCTACATGAAAGTTTTTAAATTGTGTAAAAAAGACAAGTAACACCAGTTATGATAAATAATCAACATCTCATCTTTTTCTGAAAATCATTGTCATATCTGAAGCACGTTTGAGTGAGAGGCTGCAGCAAGACGGGCAGTCTCAGGGACAAAACACCCTCATCAACCTCCACTTTTACCTCCCACCCCCGCAGAACTCCCTCCTCCTTTCTGACGGAGGCTTCAAGTTATTTGTCAAGTGCCAAAACATCTACAGGAAAAGAAGAAGAAAAAGACGCAGAAGTTAAGAAAGTCACAGCCAGAGCGGGAGGGAGTCATGAGGTTTGAGAGATTTGTGACATTTGGGTTTTATAGTTAGGATGTAGTTTAGTGTTTAGTTTAATCAGTTTTAGTATTTGAGTCAAAACATTGAAAATATTTTTGAACATGAGGAGGATGGAGCTGCAGACCCATAGGAGGATGGAACCGCCAAGTCAGAACCTCTCGGACTGAGAAGAGGATCATGAAGGAGAAAAACAGTTATAGTCAGACAGAGAGGACTTTGTTGATAAAGATGATGATCAAAACTCGTTTTTAAAGAGGAAACGGAGGAAGAACGGACCAGGCCCTGCGAAGAGATGGGGGTACAGAACCCCTGTAACTGGCCCAACAGAACCAAGCATCAGTTCTGAGCTCTGGAGAACACAGGAGGATATGGATGTTGATCCAGAGGGCGGACTAATGGAGGAAAATACACTTTTGTTTTGTTTTTTCTAGCGTAAAATAAATGTTTTGCCAGTTAAAAAAATAACTGTGGTGTAGAGTTTTTAAACAAAAAAATTCTTAAAGCATTAAAACAAACAAACAAAAAAACATTTAAATTATATATTTTTATTTCAAGCTAAGACAGATTAAAAAAAAACTGACTACTCGATAGTATTTTGTGAAAAAATATTTAGAGTAGCATTTATAAGCATTTAAATGAGGTGGTTGATTTTACCCTGAGGAACATGAACAGTCAAAGTTAAAGGTTAAAATCGTCTTATTCAAATGTTCACAATATGAAGCTTTAGATGTTGTTCAGGTTTCATGATGCGTCTGTAGTTTGAGAAAACAAAGTGAAGTTTTTGAGCTGCATGCATTCAGCTGGGACTGCTGCAAGATAAAGAATAAAGATAAATTAATTGTGAAATAGTTCTTTATTAGATTCTTGAATGTTATCTCGCTCTACAACATTGATTGAAGCTGTTGCTGATTATGACGTCATAACTCTTTTCATGTCTGTGATGCTGGTGAGACATCTTCATCAGTGATCAGAGTTTGAACAGTCTGCGTTCAGCAACATTTCACCAACAGAACATCTGTGCTGATGTTGGAAATGACCCATCAGCCTCCTACTCAGAAGGCTGAATGCATGTTTGTATCTAGTGACCAACCTATCTATCCATCTATAACAAACTGACCGTTCAAACTTGACAGCCATGATGACGACGTCTCCATCCATTACAGGTCTGTTGGGCTGACTGCTTCTTTGCATGGTGTCTCTCCTGGCCTGCAGCTTGTCCTGAGTCTGCTGGTAAAACTCCTGCAGCCCGTACGCCTCACTGCAGCACAGGCACCAACTCTCACCACATCACGCTAAACTGCAGCACAAAAAGAAAACTTCCTGTTCCACATTCATACCTGATGTCAGCGTTTGTCTGAGCCGCCTGCACCTGCTTTCCCAGTGGAGATTCCACCTTGTCTCTCAGCATCTGACACAGGCAGTACTTCGTGTTAAAGGCGTGGTTATCGTATCGAAAAGCCTGAGGACAACAGCAAACACAAACACGTTACTCTGATGCCGTCAGTAAACAGGACTGTGCAGATTTAGACCCGTCCAGTCTGAAGTATTCCACTCTGTGGATCAAAAACTTCTAAAAAATACAAAAATAAATGCCTTTTTCATAATAATCACAGATGTTCCACAATAATCTTTTTAGACATTGTTTTATTTTCTACTTTTATAAGTGTCTATGTCATAAAGACTTCCTGTGGTAAAGATTTTCTAGTACACGTTGTATTACTTTCTATAAAAACTCTCGTCATAAAGACACGGTACTTCAACCCATCAGACCGTGAAGACTCCTCGTAACAAAGTCTAACACAAACGCAGTGACAGAGACTAAAATACTCTGTAATGAAGACACTCTGATGTAGATTATGCAACAAATTCATGAAATACTTTGTATAAAAACTTTGTGATGAACACAAAGTTTTTCTGTCAAACATTTGATATCAAAAAGACCACGATATAAATACTTTGTAATGAAGACTATAATCACTTTGCAGTAAAATTGTTATAACAACGCTGTAACCGACTGAGACCCTCTGTAATAAATACTCTATTATGATAACCCTCTGTAATCAAGAGTACCACATACGGCACATTATACGCCCAACGACAAAATATTAACAGTAATCTATAGCAATGGCCTGGACAAGTACAAGACCTTGTATAATATTTGACCTTGATTTATGACCTTGACATAAGAGCTGAGATAATGAAAAGTGTATGCGACACTGTCTAGTATTGATAAAAATTTATTTTTTGTTAAATTATCTTGAGCTGATTTGAAGTTATGGACGGCACAAGCAAAGACCTTGTATAGCATTTGACCTTGATTTGTGATTTGACCTTGAAGCCTGGGTGAAGATTTTGTGCCATGCCGTGTAGAAGTGGTACAAATTTGCATAAAGTTTTGGCAAATCAGCTGAAGTGGATCCGAGGTTTAGGGCGGGACAAGCAAAAACCTTGTTTTGGCCGACTTTGACCTTGACAGCGGAGTTGTTTACATGTTGTCCTACGGTTCTACCACGTCTGTTTTTGTTTGCTGTTGTTGCTTCTTGGCCAGGTCATCACTGAAAATGAGAATTTATTCTCAAATATCTAACCAGGTTAAATAAAGGTCAAATAAATAAATACAACAGGAAGATAATTTGGGTCATAAAAGCTCAAAAAGCAAACCGGCAGACATGGTTGCTCTTAAGTACGATTTTATTCTGATGGGTTAAAGATCTGGAGGCAAAACGAGCAACGTAAGAGAATTTTCAGAGAGTTTTTTTTAAACGTGAGCGATAATTCTGGTCGTCTTTTGCTGCTGGCTGATTGAATCCTGGTTGAATCCCGATGAAACAAGAGGTTTGTGGAGTCGGAGCTCTCAGACATGCTGGTTGTGCACGAGCCGTGGGGTGAACAGAGGAGACACAGTTTGGTGGTCACGCCATTTTGTGCAGTTTGTTTACTTGTTGATTCAACCGCTTGTAGTTTTAACCGTGTTTGGTGATCGTGGAAATTACTTTTTATGATGGTTTAGCCAAGATCCCGACACTTCTGTGGATGCACACGTTTACGTTTAACTGAGAGAACTCACGTTAACGAAGGTAGAAAGCAGGAAATGCAATTCTGTTTGGGGCTTAAGAGATGAATAAACGATCTGTGTCATGGTCTTTGACAGAAAACCCGTCTGATAAGGACTCTAATCAAAGGTTTCAATAATAAACACTGTTAAAGCCTTAAACCACTCATCACACACTTTATTGTAGATTCTGAAACACACGGTAATATGTTGTTTTAAAGGCCCCGAGTAATAAAGACTCACATATTTTAAGTAATCCTCCATGACCTTCTCCACAAGCAGCGGTCCGTCGCTGCTGAACACTGATGCATTCCACATGGCAGCACGGGCCACCATGACCGAGGAGGCTCCGGTTGTCTTTCTGAAGGTTTCGATGTCGCTGTACGTTCTGACCAGATCCAAAGAACCTCCACTGCAAGACAGACATGAACTCACCACTTACGCCAACACTGACGCTCACCCCTTAGGGTGGAAAAATAATAATCATCCAGATTTTAGAACACTTTTCACACCGTAGACCATCAAACTTATAATGCACTCTCCATCTTTACATACCCACAATTCATATAGAAAAGATAAAAATGAAAATACGCAAGCACATTCCTCCTTCATAAAACTAATAAACACACATAACACGCAATATAAAAGTGATAAAAAATCATTTTGTACCAAAAACTGAAGAGAAAATTTAAAAAAATTAATTTTAGTGTTTGACACAAAACCAAAATCAATAATAAGACCCGAAACAAAAAATGTTTCGAACAATCAGTCCCCAGGGCGTCAAGGGTAGGGGTCGACACAGCCCCCACACTTCTCATGTCCCGAGACATTCAGTAGATGTTTCAGAGTTCAGGTAGTTGAACCAACAGGTCACAAGAACATTTAAACAAGTA